GTTTCAAAGAAGTAAGAGACAAACACAAAGGTAGAACAAAGGTGAGGTGAGTACTGTGAAAATATTCGAATATGGCATCGAGTGAGGTGATGGTAGTTTGAAGCCAGAAGTCAACTGCCAGTTAATAGACTTTTTGCCGTATGAATATACGTTGCCCAGGGTGCACCACGTGGAGGTAAGTCTATCGCACACCCCCATGCTTTAGCTTAAAACTGCTAAAACGATATTTAGCATCGATAGACATTTTATGAAAATCTGAAAAACCAATACAAAATTAACAAATAAAATCGAATTAATTGATAACATTTTCGTTGTACTTAAATTAGCTCAAATACTGGGCCAACTTAGCTCTAATAGGACTATCAGTATGGGGAATTCGAGAATCTGAGATCATGCAGAAATATTAATACAACTATATTTACTTGAAATATGTAATTTATCTCTGTCGAAGCTGGAACTATAAAAATATTCCAATTTTTTCATATAACTATATCCTTAATTTAAAATGAGAGCTGTTCCCTATACAATGGAAATGGATTTACCAGAGGATATATGATCTCGTCTCCAGTGAAGTTCAAATAGATTCTTTCTGATGCACAAGCAAATTGTCAGCGTTCTGAAAATGTGGCAATCTTCTTTTTAGATTGAAATAGGTTGTATTAGTCGTCAATAACGTACCAAGCTCATTAGGCACCGAATGGGTAAAATGGACTCCAAGTTCATCATTATTTTTCTGTCAAAATCTCAGGGAAATGAATTTTTATTTATTTTTCAGAAGACCTCTAGAGTCTAAATACCAAATTTGCTAAATATGAAAGCGACAAAGCAATTGCATATTCTAACGACAGCATTACAGTAGGAGAGATTGGTGAACGTAGGATGAGAAATAGGTACATATTGGAAGGTTGGAGCAAGCTTGTGGATTTAAATGCAGAATCATACCTTCAGAAAATGAAGAAAATCTGAGAAAATGGGTTAGAAAGAAAGGAATGTTATAGTTCGGGCAGAGCTGAATATCTATAGTTTTAAGTGATAAACAGTTGGAAGTGCAATAGGGAAATATAAAAATTCGGCTTCTACAGTGAAGATGAACGCAAGTCAATGAGGAAGGTGAGAGGGTGTATTTCCAGGTTTTCGCATGACTCTTAACTGGAATTCTGACAGGTGGATCGATGTATATATTGTAATAAGATCTTGCCGAATGATATTGGGTTAGCATATTACCAAGCTGTCATTAACCTATTGACTCATTCTCTGGAAATAGTCAGTCAATCAAAAAATCATTATTTTATTAAATATTTCAAACAAGTGTGAATCGAGACTATTCTTCTTTGATTTATGCATGTAATATTATTCTTTAGCGGTTTTTTATTTGAATAATGGGCTATGATTTAGCACTCATTTTATACGGATCTAAGAGAAAATCTTGTAGTGTTTCCTATAAATAGATTAATTACATCTCTACTCTACTTTACTCTACTTTTTGTGGCTTTGATGTTCCTATTTTCTGTGAAGCCCGAAGTCAGCTAAAGGGCTAATGACACCTATCAAGAAGCCTGCCATTTGATATAAATAAATATTATTAGAAACAAACAAATGTGTCAAGACAGGAGTATCTTAACTAAACATTCTCCTAAAAGAATATTTATAATGAAATTAAAATCATTGTCATTCTCTTAATCGAAAAAACGAACAAATTTTTGAAACATATACTAGTTTCATATAAATTATCTAGTGGTTAATAGAAATAAACCCTTAACTAAACTCTTATGTGAAGATTTGATTCTGAAAAGAAAATATATTCCACTGAATTTTTTTCAGAATTCCATAAGTATTTTGCTCTCATTGGCCCATTGGATTACGAAAAGAATGAGCGAAAGTCGGTAAGAGTATGACCGTGAGCCAAAACTAACCTGGATGTAGTTCGCATAGGCAAATTATGGGAACTCATTGTCGAAACTGCAGCAAAATGAATCAACAAATTGAAAGAGAAATCACTCAATTAATTAAAGCATTTTTAAATTAGTAAAGTAACAATCACACAAAAAGGGAATATGGTCAGAATTCTACTCCGGACGCTATTAAAAAATACGTGATATATACTCCTATTTGTGCTTAAGGGTAACTAAGTTCACGTCTCTTCCAATGAGCTCGATTTTATAAAGACAATTTAATTTTGAACTCACCTATCATCACGTCTTCTTCATCTTTAGTCTTCGTATTTCTCCTACATTGATGCTTCAACACGAGTAAAATTCCCCTCAAAAATTTTAATTGTAGTACTCTTTGGACTTATGCATAAGAATTTACTAAGAAATGTACTATGTATCAAAGAAATAAGATACTAACTATTCTGGTCAAATATATTAAATAACTTAAATTCCAAAAATTGTAGAAATTGCACAAGAGAAGTTAAAAGGGCTCACTCTTTGAAAAAGGCAAAGGATCTGTTAGGATTCAGCAAATATTTCGCAAAACAAAACAACGTATAACATCGGTTTACTTATTTACCACTGATATAACAGCTAAAATGTTCTTCTGTGAAGTCTACAATCGCCTGTTCGGCAACCATCGGTTCACTTCTATGAACCGAATGGTCATCAGCGAACTTTAAGTCTGGTTAATAAATAATGAGACAGAGGTCTCGCCTTTTGACTACGAGGCTGCATGGTACAATCCCTTCTCAAGATGAACAGAGGAAAAGCGCTTTCCTTGATGGAATTTAGAATTATTGTCTATTTCTCTAAAATTCATCAGTTGAGCATATGATCTGTGTTTGAATAAATCGTTGTCAAAGCCCATTAGTCGAACTTACAGTGCAAGTTTAATTTTATGAGGTCCATTAAATAAAATTGCACCTTTCAGGGCCGAGGTTAGAAGACGTGAAACATGAGTTGTTTGAGGTGGCCTTAATTTAAAATAATAAATCTAACCATCTGATATTTTTTGTCATTTAAAATGGCAGGCTTTATGATATTTATCACTAGCCACTTAGTTGAATTCAGCTTTCCCCATGGGGGGTTCGTAAATAGCAGTTAATTAATAGCAATTTATTAGCTGTCTTCTTGCTTCCCAGTATCTCTGGATTTCCGTCGTTGTCTTCTTGCTTCCCAGTATCTTTGGCTTTCCGTAGCGGTACATTTATAGCAGTTAATTAATAGCAGTTCATTAGCCCTCTTCTTGCTTCCCAGTATCTCTGGATTTCCGTCGTTGTCATTAGGGCTGGACATCGAATCAGGTGGGTCTTCTCCATTTCAGCTGGACATCGAATCAGGTGGGTCTTCTCCATTTCCTCCTCCTGGACACCGAATCAGGTAGGTCTTCTCCATTTCCTCCTGTAGGTCACATAGGTTACATAGGGTCCATATGGGTTGAGTGTATACTCCCAATCTGTGAAGGTGTTTTGCCAGGCAACCGTGTCTGGAACATAGTCTAAACTCAGCAACGGCTTCGATTCTTGGCCAGTCGGCTATGTTGGAGAGTGCCACTGTCCACTGTTTCTCCTTGTTCGAACTTTAAGTTCGCTGCACCTTGAGGTTTTGAATTCTCTCCTGATTAAGGTCTTCATTGTGTAGAAAGACATCGGCCTGTCTATACCTTGCAAAATTGCTGTTCCCTTTTTAACAAGTGTATCAGCACGCTCATTGCCATAAATGCCACAGCGACCAGGAATCCATTGTAGGACCAATGTTTTGTTTTTTCTCTCATCGGCTGATAGAGATTTTTACATTCGTTCATCTCAACTGTTTTGGGTGGCTCTCTGCTTCCAATTGAGTTTATTACTGACTGTGAGTCCGAAAGTATTACTGCTTTGGTGAATTTCGTATTGAGGCAACATATTGGCTTAGTGCTATCCTAACGGTCCCTATTTCTCCTTCGAAAGCGGATCTATTATGTCCCGCTGCTGCGTATAAAGAGAAGAGTTCAGAGAAGACACCCGCACCAATGTTTGCTTGTTTTTCTATGTATGACCCATCAGTGAAAACTTGGAGCCATTTATCTGCAGGTTAGTTGACATTGTTTGTCTCAAGGGTCTGTGAACGCATTTGTTCTTGAGGGGTGTTAGATTTCCTGAAGTGGTCAAGCAGTTGGGTGCAAAACACTACATCAGTGTCTGCTAATGGATTCATGGGGAGAGAGGCTTTTTGGTTTGTCATCGATTTTTAAATCCTTTTTCAGTTCTATGTCTTTCTAAGACGAGGAATTCTTTCTTCAGTTCTATGGCTTTCTGTATTAGACACATGGGAAGAGGGAGGCTTTTTGGTTTGTCATTGATTTGTGATTGTATTAAACCAGATTGCGTTTTCAGATGTCTTGGTCTATAAAGGAATGCTTTCTTCAGTTCTATGGCTTTCTGTATTAGACCAGCATGCGTTTTCAGATGTCTTGGTCTATTCTCATAGGTGCTATTTTCAGGGTCTTGGTCTATTCTCATAGGTACTGAAGAACTTGTCCATATTGGTCTATTCTCATAGGGCTGAAGAACTTGTCCATGGGAATGCGCAGTAGTTTCTCAGACAGGCTCATACAGTGATCAAGGCCTTCTCTTCAGTAGCTTCTCATACAGGATCAAGGCCTTTTCTTTGATGAGGTAGCTTCTCATACAACCGTGAATGCGCAATAGCTTCTTATACAGGATCCAGGACTTCTCTTTGATAAGGGAACATATTGTGGTGTTCCCTGTAACCAGGACCATTGCATCAATGAGTGTTGATTTTATCCCTCCAGTAATTAGTCGTAAACCCTGGTTGTGTGCCTTCTCGTGTGATTTGAGAGTCGCCTCTGTGGCTGTAACGAGGGACTCACAGCAATACAACATTATCGGTGGAATAAACATCTTGTAAGTGGTGTTTAGAGTTGATTATGCACAGCCCCATACTCTACCAGCAAGTCGCTTCAGTACATTCAGTCTATTGGAGACTCGTTATGCTATTTTATCAATGTGACTTTTCCATGTTAGCTTTTTGTCAAAAGTCATTCCGAGATATGTGAACTCATTGCTTCTTTCTAGGGTAGTATCCTTGTACCTTAAAAGCGGGTTTATGCTCTGATGGGCCAAGGAAAAAGTTTGGAATTCAGTTTTTGCGGTGTTAATTACCATTCCATTGTTGTCGCACCAGTTTGCTAGTAGTTTAAGTGCACTATTAAGAGCACTTTCTGTCCTCTCCTGAGCGTTTTTCTTAGGAGCGGAATACCATAGAACAAGATCATCTGCATAAAGTAAGCACTTGATGCCCGTGACTGTCTGTACCAATTCGGCTATGTCATTGATGAAGACATTGAAAAGAGTGCAGCTTGTGGCAGCTCCTTGTGGAAGGCCTGTTTGTAAAAGATTGGATTTTGATAGAGCATTTCCGTATCTGACTTTACACGATCTTTGTCCAATGAATGCTTTTATCCAATTTAGCATGTTATGCTTAATACCAATCTTTGCCAATTTTAGAATTAGCTTCTCTTTCCATGTTAAGTCATATGCTGATTTGAAATCGACGAAAACAGCCGTAAGGGTATTTCTTGCATCAAGGACAACTTTGATATGTTGGGAGAAAGTGGCTACTTGTTGGTTTGTTGATCTTTGTGGCCTAAAACCTGCTTGTTCACTCCTAAGAATATTGTTAGTCTCAAGGAACCAGGTCAGCCTCCTGTTAACCATTCTTTCCATAAGTTTAGCCAGCATGCTTGTGAGGGAGATAGGCCTATAGTTGTCAAAGTTGCTAGGGTCTTTGCGCTTTTTAGTATTACTATGACATGTTTCCATTGGTTAGGTACGAGCCTGATCTCCCAGATTTTGTTGAAAAGCGTCAGCATGGTTTCCTTGTCTTCCCAGATTTTGTTGAAAAGCGTCAGCATGGTTTCCTTGGGTGTTGGTCCCATTCTAATTAGAAATTCCAGATGGATTCCGTTTTTGCAAGGAGACTTTTTGCACTTTAGCTGTGTTTTCGCAGCATTAAGTTCGCAAGGTCTGAATTGTTCAGTAAGTACATTATTTGATATTGTTGCGTCTTCCTTAATTTCATCAAACTCTCTTGCTAGTATCTTTATATCTCTTGAAGATTTTCCGACAAAAGAGTTTTTCTTTTGTTTGTGGGAATAGAACCTCGCAAAGCAGTTAGCTATTTCAGAGTCGGTGGTAAGCAGTTTGTTGCTTAAGCGTATTGGTTCTTTCTTGGATCTTTTCTTATTGTTTTGGTGGTTACCCAGGAATTCGAAAGTGTGTTGGCTATCACAAATAATTAATATTTGAGATGAAGTTGTCAAAGGAAGTCCGTTTAGCATGTAAGATTGCTTTCCTTAGGACAGCTGACTACTGTCTCCAAACATGTACGTCTTCAGTTCTTCCCCTCTGTTCAGCAGTGTTGCGAAGGGTGTCTCGCTTTCCTTTCAGTTCCTCAAGCTGTTCAGACCAGAACACTCGATAGTTTTAGTCTTGCCTCGGGGAATAGTTTTCTTCGCACATCTGATCTTTATATTCGTGATTTCGTTGCAAATTTTTCCAGGATGTTGGTTGAGTTGAGGGGACTTGTGTGAAGTTCATTCTCTAAAAGGTTTGGGGACTTGTGTGAAGTTCATTCTCTAAAAGGTTTGTGAATTTAGACCAGTCGACTTCTTGAAGTTCCATGATAACTTAGTTGGCACTTTCATTATCATGATTTTTTGCCTACTGTTATTCGAGTAATGACTGGTTTGTGACCAGAACCAGGATCGTAAATTATT